AGTATTGCCAAAAAAATTCATATTACAGCTCTACTTTTCTACATATCAGCTAGTTATGTAGATAGAAATGCACCATGATTTTACTACTGAATCCCTTATTGTTAGATGTTTAGGTTGCTTCCTGATTTTTGTGCTTATAAATGGTGCCCCAGTGACCACTCTTTGTATAGATATTTGTTTACATTTATGACTCCTTCTTTAAGCTATATTTCTACTAGAGTCAAGAAGTACAACAAAAGTCAGCATTTTCTAGCCCTCAGCTTCGTAAGCTGTAATAAACCTACGCTAAGAGCACCAAGCAACGCACCATGTGCCAGGCCTGTGCGCCTACCCACGTCACCTTCCCAGCTGCCTGCTGTCCTTCCAGGCTGAGGTGGCGCTTGCTGGAGGCAGGTGATGGAATTCTAACCCAGGCAAACCCCGCTGCAGAATCCTTCTCTCGGCTTCTTTGCTAACATCTCCCCCCGAGACCTGAGCACAAAATGCGATAAACTCTAGGGCACCTTTGGGGTCTAATGTTATTTGTGGCCCCTCGTAACAACACTCACTGCCTGGGGAAGTTCAGGGCCTCCTTCACTCCTCTTCATTCTCCCGTTGTTCCTGTGTTTGATGAGGCAGGTGTGTGTGTGCCTATTTGTGTAGTTTTCTGTATAGAGCAGTCAGCAGAGTGTGAGGTAAGGGGGCCTGAATAATCTATAGGAAGAATGCTGAGACACTAGTCATCAGTGCTTTTGTTTATACGCCACTCATCAGGCTTTTCTTTTCATCTTAAAGTCCCCAGGCTTTTTGACTGGGAAATCTGTCATGCTGTAATTGCACTGTCACCTGTTGGAGTAGGATGTGCCTGGATTTGGCTGTCTAGCACACCCCTGTCCCTGAAGCACGTGTCTGTCCAAGCTGTGTGAGGGGGGCTGCGTCCCTCCTTGAGCTCCTGTGCCTGCACTGCCCAGAAACACTGCTGGTGGGATGCCCACACAGCAGGAGGCAGGTGACTGCCCCAGAGCCCTCACTGTGTGGCCATGCTGCTTTCCTGCTTGCTGAATATACTTGTCCCTTAGAATGTGAAGGGCAGGGGTTCCAGGACCCCCACAGACACCAAAATCTGTGGCTGCTCACTTCCCTTGTATGAGAGGCATAGTGCTTGCCTAGGACTGACTCAGGGCCCCAGCACCCTTCACATCGCCTCTGGATGACTCGTAGTACCTCATACAGTGTCACTAGTCCCTATATGATGAGAAATGATGCGTAATGACGAGGAAGAGAGTCTGCGTGTTCAGTACAGACTCAGCTGTTTTTTCCAAACATTTTTCATCTGAGGTTGGTTGAATCTATGGATGCAAACCTCATGGAGATGGAAGTCTACTGTATAAAGTCTGCAAAGCCTTCTTGAAATTCTGATACCATAGAGGGGAAGCTGGAGGCTGCTTTTTAAGCACACATTATTCCATGGGATTACTTTTGGAGTGTCTGGGGAGTGGGTTTCATCCTTCAGAGGGCCTCAGGATCACCTGAGTCACTTGAGTGTCTTTTTTTTTAAGTGTCACTTTCTGTCCCTCAGTTGTCTCTAAGCCCTAATTTTCATGAAGCATCTAGGGTGAGGTCTATGAGCAGCATTTTAAAAACTTCTCAAGAGATTCTTGTTTAGAACCAGAGCTGGGGACCAGCAGCCCAAGAAATTCTAGCAGTAACAGTATTACATCTTCACATTTATAGTATTTGCTTTACAACTGTCTTTCACCTGAACAGTCCACAAAGATCAGGAGAATAGGTAGTATTAAGATTGCTCCTGGCAGAAAGCTTGACCGAGTTGCCTGAGGTCACACAGCATTTCCCTCAGGGAATAGCAGCCATCTCCTGCCCAGCCCAGGGTAGTCCTGCCTGGCCATTTGGGAAAGAGCAGCTTCCTTCCCCCCAAAAATCTTCCTGGGTAAGCAAAGCCCCCTCTTGGCTCCCTGAGTACTGGTAGCCAAGGGTTCTCTTCCTTTTCTCATGCATCTCCTGCTCTGTTCCCCCCACCCCTACAGAGCCCCTGTATTGTGTACCCAGCACCTCCCCCGACCACATCCCTGTCACAGTTAGGGGTGCCCCTGAGGTGCAGAAATCCCGGGAACTCAGACAGCTCACATCACCCACAGTACTCTGAGGATGCAGAAGGCACAGTCCCCCAACATGTCCCCTGTCCCCCAGCAGCTACTCCACCACCCATTCTTCCCACACCTTCTGCCCCATTCCCCCTCCTGCCCAACTCCCGGTAGCCTGTAAGCCCACCTGAGTCTTTCCCTCGAGGCCATTTTGGGGGCTGGAGGTCCCTGAGGGTCCACTCTGCACACCTGGTGGATGGGAGCTCAGCAAGGCAGCCAGGGAAAGAAAGCGCAGCCAGAGGACAGCGTTCCTCCACTGTCCCCCACCCAGCAGCCAATAATGGTGCCCATTACCCCCAACTCCAGCCAAGGGCTCTTGCCTTCCTTTCTGCCTCCTCTTCTTTTCCAGACCTTTTCCTTCGAACAGCCTGCATCCTGGAGCGGCTCCCAGAGACTGCAGGCTTTCTGTGTCAGCAGCCTGCAGCCTCCCTGCTGAGAGGGCTGGGGAGGAGGGTAGAGGAGGCAGGGCTCTGCCTTGGAGGTACTGCAGACAGCAGTGATACACCTAGGTCACAGCACCTCTGGCTGACCCTCCCCATCCCCTGTGCCCTCCCTGTGAGGTGTTGTCATAGAGCCCCACCAGGAATTCCTGCAGCGATATCATTCTGCTCCTCTTCCATGGCTTGCACATCTGGTTGGGAGGGAGGCGCTGTCATATCTCAGGGACTTTTGGTTCCCCAGCACTGACCTTCGTAAAAGGCTCCTTTCTGCTAGCAAGAGCAGCTTTCCACTTCACCACTTGACTGTTACGCAAATCCTGTGTGATGGTGACTTTTCTGCTGGCTGAGATTTGGAGGGAAGGGAGAGGAAGAGGGCATGGGCCAGCTCACCTCTCTCAAGCAAAGAAGAGGTAACAAGAAGGTAAAGTGGTCTTTGGCTGTGTGTATGGCCCAGAACAGTTGGCTTGGTACATCTTCACCTTTCTGGTTGGACATTGTCAGACATCTGTCAGAGGACTAAAGAGCCCTTTGTAGTGACTACCTTAACTGTCCCCTCACCTACAAGGCTCAACCTCCACAGCTAGATTGGTGCTCTCTGACCCATTCCCCCATAGGGAGTTGGAGCAAGGCTGGACTTGAGCTAATCTCAGTCTCTTTCTTAGGCATATTAGTTAGGACAAAAAGTTGTACTTCAGTTTGGGCTGGTCTTTGTGTGGAACACATAGATAGAAAACCTCGTAACTATAGAAGCTGGAGGAGTCTAATCAATCCTCTGGCTTTGCTTTGCACTTTATAAGATTTGAGAGATTAAAGATTGGCTGATGGCCACTAACACCTATTTCATAACAGAATTGACTCTTGGAGTCTGTTATAGCTTGTGTTTAGATGTCTCCCCAAAGCCTCATGTGGGCATAGGTGGGGCTTTTACAGAGGTGGCTGGATCTAGAGTGTGTGATGCTGGAGTTGATTCTTAGTGCAATGCTAGGTTTAAGGACACTGGGATTAAGGGTGTGAGTGCTACCTGCCCTGAGTAGCCTGGATAAGATAAAAGGGGCAGAAAGAGCTGTGGTCACTCCTTGTTGCTTTGTACCTACTGTTCACCATGAACTGTTTCTCTTCTGCAAAACCTGTCTGCCACCTTCCCTACCTTGGAGGCAGCAGGTTATAGACTGAATCCTCTACAAACCATGAGCTACATTAACCTTCCCTCCTTTAACATTGAGTATTGGGTATTTTGTCTCAGCAATGAGAAAAGTAACTAAGACAGAGTACAAAGTGGTAATTCATGTACTTTTTTAGCTAAAAGATGACCCCTCTACAAGCAGTCTCCAACTCTGAAGAAATGATAGTGCTCAGGTAGCATGTAGGGTGTTGTCCTAGCAACTGACTGACCTGGACTTAAACCCTGGCTCTCTCTCTCTGACTTATTGGGGTCTTGGGGACATTTCTCACACTCTTGAGAATGTTCAACTGGAAAATGGGGATCATGGAATTAAGGGGTCAGTGTGGGTCAGTGACAGAGCACTTGCCTCGTGTGGTGAGGCCTTTGGTTACATCCCAGCTGGAAAAATTATTTAAGAAGAATCTCTACCCTCATCTTAAAGAAACTTGAGGACTGTTTTAATGAGAATTAGGGATGCTGAGCACATAATCATTGCTCAGTAAATGAAATCTTTATGCTCAAGTCAATAATTGTTCCATCCTTCCAGTATCCTATTCTGAAACTGCTGTGTTGTTAGACTAATGCCTTCATGTTTGGAAGCATTTGGAGGGCTCTCTCCTCCTTTTTATTCCCCAGGAGCACTAAGGGGCTGTTGACTGCACCCCACAGTGGCATTTAAAAATGAGTAAAGAATATTGGTAAAACATCGTCTAACAGGAAGCCCCAAGGAAGGGTAGTTCCACGATTGGCGGTTTACCACTTCACTACTGCTGTGAGCCAACCTCTTCAGAAGGCCATCATTCAGCAGAGCAACCATGCAGGCCTGGGTTCAGCAGGGCAGCTCTCCTCCTCTGGCCTCTGCTCTGTGTGCATCTGCAGTCAGTTCTGGGTTGCCCAGGTGGCACTGTCCTGGATGTGGGCCAGCTGGTAGCTGGTGAGCTCAAGAGTTTTGGATGGTCTTTTGCTCACCTCTGGCCAGATAGCCTTGGCTTTTTCTTAGGTTGAATGGAGGGGTCTATATGCCAAGACCTTTGGAACTGGTGCTGTCACTTTGGCAGTGTAGCTAAAACAAATCTCCAGTCAGTTTAGGCTCAGTTGTGGGTGAGTAGAGCCTGTGTCCTGCTGGGAGGGCTGTCTAGGTCATAGTGCGTGGGTCAGCCAAGGGATCTGGAATCATTTTCATAATGCCAGAGCCCAGTTGGTGGGGGCTCTAGGCTGTGTTCTTGGGACTTGCTTGGCTTTTCCTGTGTCTCACAGATGCTGCAGCAATTCTAGGCCACAGGTCCTCACACAGCATGACTGGAGGCTGAGTCTTTGGAAGAAGGAGCGGAACCTCCCTAGCCATCTCCACCAGCCTTTCCTTAGACTATGATTAGGATAACCCTAACCAGGATTGGCAGAGAGGGTAAGATTACCACAATTTATTACTGTTTTTATTGTTATCATCACCATCAAAGACTCACCTTATTGCCAAGAATGACCTTGAGTTGGGGGAGGCCAAGTTACCCTCCTTCCTCAGCCTCATGCGTTGTTGATACTGCTGACACATGCCTGTGTGCCCAGTCATCACGATCAATTTAGAGTCAACTGGATTTACCTCTCAGGGGTCAGGGGAGGACCCAAATCCTCGGGAGCATTGGATTCTAGAAACCTGAACATGGCAGAGATTTTAAGAACAAAACACAAGCATTAAAAACTAGACAAAAGCAACAACCAAAGCAGGATAGGTGACAGTAGTTGGGTGGGAATCAGTAGGGTGCAGTGGAAACACCTTCCATGGTGTCTTGCACTCATTTGTTGTTTGTAAGCAACATTTATAAAAAGTGTCTTAGGCCAGGCCCAAAAGAATGAAAGGTGTCATAGTTAGGGTTAGGGCACAGAATTTATAATACTATTTTGTGATAGTCACGGGAGTTAAATACAAGAAAGAGCAGGAAATCTGTCCACAATACTAAATATTGAATATTCAGCCAAGAGTCTGGATCCTGTCCTACATGAGTCCAGCTGAAGACCCAGAACCCATGACAATGCGTCTCATAGCCCAACTGGAGGTCTAGAGCCCACAACAATGACTCATGCAAGTCTGTTTTATGGGTCTGCGCTGGGAAGGCCCAAAGGTCAGCAGTGGAAGCTGGAAAGTCTACTGTGGATGGGTGAAGGGGCTGTGCCAGTAGGTTGAGGGTTCTACACTGGAGCCAAGAAATCATGTTCAAAATAAGGACCAGGACTGCCCTGAAAAGCACCACAGCCATCCTCAGTGACAATGAAGTCTTGTGTTCCTCCAACAATAACAGTGAAGTGCATGCCAGGAAGCAATGTGACAAGCTTCTACTGGAATTTTAACAGCACACATCTTCCTCTCTGGAGCGAGGATGCAATGCTCAGTGTAAAGAGGAGAGCTCCCCCAAAGAGAACCACAGCCACTCTCAGTGACATGGTCCCGAGCTCCTCCAATAATGGCCGAATTCATATCGGGAAGCTAGCCATGATGAGCTCCTCCTAGAGAACCAATGGCTCAAATAGCAACACTTAGGAGAACCCACAATGCCTCACTCTTCCTCTCCACATCTCTGTTTGTGCTGGGACTTTCTTCAGGTGGGCCGTCTACACGCAGCACCATGCTGATTTAATTCAGCTGGTGTTAACTTGACCACCAGTTTCTAATCCATAATAAAAGATAGAACTTCAGCCTTCTGAGAATGATCTATAACCAGATCTTTTAAAGGTGCCTTTTGGAAGAAACAGTGAGAGCAAGACCCTTGAATGGTTCAAAGTGCTCTGCCCTTGAATAATGACTGATGAACAGCAAGGAGAGATACTTGCTGGGACCAAGATCTGAAATGTGAGCTGGTAGTGAGGTCTGGTTTAAAGCACAGTGATTCAGCTAATTAGTAAAATAAGCCCGGCCAATGTTTTGTGCTCCACTTTTGAGACTGGGAGTTTACCTTTCCTAGGAGCCCACATGGGGGAAATCCGGACAGGAAAGCAGTAGGAATCTGCAGTGAGTGGTAGCAGGCGGCAGCACGTACCTGGGGAGGGAGGAAGGGCAGTGGATTCTTCCTGGGGCTGGAAGGCATCAGGAAAGGTTTTCCAGAGAAGTTATCATGCCAGCGGGGACTTGTAAGATGACTTGGAAATTTCAGGGTTGAAAAGAAAGTTATTAATGACAAGAACAGCCCGAGTAAAGGCCTGGAGCTAGAGAATGGGACAGTGTATTTGTAGAACAGGAGCTTAGGATGCGGAATGAGTGAGTGTGTGAGGGATGGAGAAAGAGACAACTGATGGTCAGGAGATGTGAAGCTGTTGGGTGCTGGGTTCATTCTGCTGGCTGTGGGAGTGAGAGGGAATTTTAAATCGGAGGCAGGGTATGCTGGAAACACACTTTGGAATGACACCTTTGGCTGTAGAAGAGTGGGAGACTGGCTGTGCTGGGGAGCAGGCCCAACCTGGCTGGTGGCCCAGAGAGGTGGGGAGGCGGTTCCTGGGTCTGGGGGGCATTTTAATAAAAACAAGGTTTGGAATTGCTGGCACACTTGGAAAGAGAGAGCAATCCAACTTTTGGCCAGTTTTGGAACTGCTCCGAAATCCCCTATGGCTGGTTTTTTGACTCAGTACATCTCCTGCCCCACTGCAGTCCTGGTAAACACAGCTCAGGCCTCCTGGGTGGATGGAAGTGGATGCTGCAGCTCTGCATTGGATCTTTCGAGCCTTTGTGTTAGGGCTGTAGAGGCCTTTCCAAGAGCCCACCAGAGTGGAACAGGGGTGGGGTACAGAGGCCAGGGTGTGGTCACCATCTGAGTGACCTCAGAGACTTAGGGTTTTATAAATTCCATCTCCTTGGGCAATGTTAATGTCCCCTTGATCCTTTCCAGGAGTCTAGAAAGCCCTCATCTGGGGCCTGGAGGGGAGGTAAAGAACCATTCATCAGACTTGCTGTCTTGAAGGAGGGGACTTGTAACAAGGAGGGCTATTCAGAAACCACAGGGAGCTTTGCCTACTCTCTGCCTCACAAGGAGACTGGGGGTGGGACTCGGAAAGGGGCCTCAAGGACCTCTGGCACCTGAGAAGCATGCTCTGGTGGGCTGGGTCTCAGTAATCTCCAGAAAGCAAGACCCTTGCATTTGCTGCTGACCAGCTGCTTGCTATGAACAGAGCACAGAATATATCTGGCTTTGGTTGTCCCCATATGTTTTTTATATAGTAAATATATGCATTGCAAATATGCGTAGTAAATATATGTCATCAAATATGTAAATATATATGGTAAACACACACGTGTGCGTACACCTATACACATATATTAGTTGTTGTGATTTCTCCCCATGGGCTTCAGTTTGCATTTCCTTTACCTACTGAGGCTGAGCTGCTTTCCCTGAGTTTATTTTCTCTTCTGTGAAATGTTCTTTTATGCCTTTTGCCCATTTCCGAATTAACTTGTTTGCTCTTTTTTAACTATTGAGTTGTTTGAGATCTTTAGATACTCTAGATATGAATATTTTATCAAATGTGTGCAATTACAGATATTTCCTCACAGTCAGTAGCTTTTATTTTCATTCTCTTGAGAAGATGAATCACAAATAAATTTTTATTTTAGTGAAATCTAATTTATCAATCCATTTTTTTAATGTATTGTGCTTTTGGTGTAATGAGTAGGAACCCTTCACAAGCCTTAGCTCCTTTAGCTTTCTCCTCTATTTCCTTTAGAATTTTTGTGGTTTTAAATTTTGCATTGAAATCTGTGTTCCTTTAAAAAAAAAAAGTAGAAATGAGGACTGAACCCAGGGCCTGCTAACTGAGCTCCGTCCCCAGCTTTTAAGGCAAGGTATAGTCCCTCTAAATTCCTAAATCATCAGGCTGGGCTCAGATTTGTGGTCATCCTGCATCAGCCTCCCAAAGTTCAGGGATTACAAATGTATACCACCACATTTGGTTTAAATTTATTTTTATGTAAGATGTGGGGCTGAGCCCAAAATTCACTTTTTGCCTCTTTGGATGTTCAGTTGCTCCTGTGTCATTTGTTTTGAAATTTACCCTTCCTCCACTGAATTGCTTGTGCAATTTGGTTGCAAATTAGTTGTTCATACTTGTGGGACTATTTCATGAAGTCTTTTTGCTTAGTTCATACATGTGTCCATCCTACCTGATTAAGCCCATGATTGTTGATTGGTCAGAATTCCAATGTGTGTTCATGCTGGGTGTATTATTAGGCTGAGAGAAGGATTTGCCCTGACAGGACCTATCTGTCTGGCTCTGATGGGACATATCTGGGCCACACACACTCTGCAGCCAAGGTTGGAGTCGGTTTTACCCAAAGAATTTGGACCAAGCATGGAATGTTGAAATGATTTCTCAGTAGGGAAATTTGTGAAAAGAAGGAACAAAACAAATGTTGGGTAGCCAAAAGAGTAATGCCCTTCCCTTACACACACACACACACACACACACACACACACACACACACGCGCGCGCACACACACACACACACACACACACACACACACAAATGTAGCAAGCATCTACTATCTCCGAGTTCTTCTGTGGCTCTTTTACTATGAAAAAAATATGTCATAGTTTAATCAATGCCAAAATAGACTGAGGAACGTAAAACTTTAGGTGAGGAATTCCTTGGTCCATACATGAACTCCCTGATTCAGATTATGAGATTATAGATTTACCAAAGTATCTTTTTATATAATTCCTTTCTAAAAGAGTTTTAAAATTTGTAAGAGTCTTATTGTTTTTTTCTGATATCTGAGGTAACACACGAATAAGGATGAATATTCCAAAGTAAAGAAGGAGGGGAAAAGGAAAAAGACAGAAATTTGTATATATATATATACATAAGACAGCTAAGGTGACTATACTACCAGTTCTGTTAGTGATTGGAAAATAACAGCTAATCCTCATATGATTGGTTCATTTTAGCATGTCTATATCTGCTAATCTAAGCAGCGTTTTTGAAAATAACATTATGCAATGTAACAACCATTGATAAATTCCTATCATCTTGTTTTGAAAGCCTATATTGATATTGTTTTGGGTTTGTTATTATTTGTTGCCTCTTTCGCTTTTTGTTTCTCTTCTGTGACTTTTTTCATCTTAAATAAAAAAAATATAAGTCACCTTTATTACCACAATCCAGAGATCATTCCTGCTAACACCTTGGTATAATTTTCTGGACTTATTATATATATATAATATATATTATATTTAAAATAGTAAGTATAAGACCAAACTTAAAATTACTTTATTACCTTTTAAAACTTGCAGAATTCTGGACATTCTTTCATGTGACTAAAGACAGATCATAAAAATTACAGTTTTACAACTCAATACATTTGAACCAGACTACTGGAATTCTTTATTCTTTATTCAATTTTTCATGATTAGAAATGATACACTGAT